GTTAAGGCCTTGACCTGGATCGAGACCAGTTTTCTCTTGTATATTACTGAGCAGACATCTCGAGAATGTAACAGACATACATTTAACGCGTTCTCCATAGTTAAATTTCTCTTCGTGCCAGTTGCTGAATATAAGTCTTTTCAGTTAGTATGTGCTCGGCTTCAAGGGTCGTGTGGTTAGTGTCCAATGCAGCTAAAGAAAAACGATGTAGTTTTTAAGATGACACTGTTTTTTGAAGACTAGGGATAGTTTTACGGTGAATGCGTCAAACCTTTTCTGAATAGGAAAGAGATACTTCACAACAAAGTCAATGTTAGTATCTGAGCTGTCAAAAGTCGGAATACCCTATTTATGCTCTAAAAAAGTTGAAGGGAGATGATATTGAATTTAGGATAACAAGACGTAACATCTACAGAGGGATAGTGTGGTGTTTGAATAAACTAATGATTCCTTCGTACTTGTTAAATGATTGATTTCGAATTCCAAATACAGTACATTCGTTTGTGCTTATCTAGTACTTCTTGATCCTAATACGTTATTTCTGGGATTCTTAGTTCGTACTATAATTCAAATACTGCTAATCATCATAGATAGTAGAAGTAATTTCATTGAATTATGTTGCTGCGAGTGGAGAAGAGTTTATAGGATTTTATGTAAATTGATATTCGACTAATACAGTTTACTTATGAGACCTAAGTTGTGTCTCCTAGAAGAAGATTCCTCATAGAATAGTTGGTACGAGAAGTCAGTGATCTGTTGAGTTACTGAAGTGGTGATGATCTGTGAAGGCTTGGTCGTTCTCCACAATATGTTTGAATATGAACATGGTGGATTTCAAACGATTACGTCTGAACAGAGTCGAACTTCTAGCATGATATCAGATTAGTTCGAGCCTTCTTTCAAAAACTCGCTCTGGTTTTGCCAATCATCACTAAAACTCTGGGATAAATAAACCTAGGAGTTTTCCGTTTGTGTGATATAGTTTATAATTTTCGATTGCAATTCAGTTGGAAGGTTCTGAATCAGTATTGAGGAACATGACTGTCCCTCCTTTATCATGACAGCATGCGTCAATCTCCACAGTATGAGCTGCAACCGTTTCGATTATCTGTACTATGCTTGATGCTAAAAATATTCCTAAAAATTCTCCGAGATCTTGGAATTGTCTTAGGTCAGCGGCGTTAGATTGGCTCTCCTGGGACGTATAGAGTTAGCAGCGGTACATTAGGAATAGAGCGGCTGATTCGGACAACTAAGTCTACAGCACAAATACTTGGTTTGGGCAAAATGTTAACAACCTGTCATGTAGATTTTGGTGAATAACTCATACATTTTCTATACGGTTAGATATTTTATGCTGATTTCAAGCTAGCAAAACAAAATTTCATACCACGTACTTCAACTTGGAGTTTGTGCTTGTGCTATATCAAAGTCCTCTAATTATTGAGATTGTTGACATTGCGTTTAATATTACAAATCCAGATTTGGCCTCGAGGTTCCCATAAATTATTAGAGTTTAGGTTTTTTTCACCTACACTTTACACAGGGACGCAGGAAATTAAGAAAATCAGATTGTGCCTCAAATTAGACTTTCAGAGATTCCATAATACAGCATCAAACACGAGCTCGTACTTGCTTCTGCATATCTAACTTCTTAAGAGCATATTTATTAGTAAAGATCATTAAAAAGCGGAGAGGAAACCTATAGAAAGTCCGCCCTTCACTTTCATATGACTAAGTTCTTCTGGTTTATTTATGAAGATGTCAATTTTGATTCTCGTGATCCTAATACGAACCAACTTGATGTATCATTATTAAGTCTATCAAACTACAGAAAACTAAGACGTCTAACAGGAACAGTTTTAATTCATTCAGATAAGTGAATAATTCGGAAATTATTTCCAGCTTATCTTCAGGTATTATGTTCTGCACGTAATATTGTAATCTGCATTTTTGTAGTAACTCCAGCTTTGCTAATGGCGTTGCCATGTATGTAGAAAGGTTTGACGTACACGAGGAGTCTGTAAAAGCTTCAAGACATTTACTTTCAAGACGATGAATGATTCTGTGTAGAAATTAGCTGGTTGGGACGAAGGAATAGACTTGTTGCCTACTATCCCCTTCTGCAGCAGTACCTCTCATTTGGTGCAGAGGTTAACTAACAACACTAGCAATTTCCACTTAATGTTGATATAAGTAGCTTAGAGTTGACGATTTATGAGCGAAATATATTATTTCTTTATACTGATGTTCATTTAGAACCCACACATATTGCAACCACTGACATCATCTTTAATAAGTCTTACCGCGTTCACTGTTACCAACCTGCCTCAAGTCACATATTGAACAACAATCTTCTCAGTGATTATATGTTTGCCTTCGAAAATCATGTGGTTAGTGACCAATACCACGACACATTCACATAACTACTGTTTATTGCAGTTTAGAACAGACCAAACGACCTATGAGGACACTATGTGATGAACTAATTTACAAATATACCAAAAAATAAAATGTGAATGCGAATTTGATAAGAGATTTTAGGATGGACATATGCACAAATATGAGGAATAATCAAGGATTACTTGTGAATAAGTAAAGTAATTCTTGGTTAACCCCCTTACACAAATGAAACTTAATTTACCTTGGACGAATGTCTACACGACATACCGTCTCAGTGTCTATTATACAGGACTTCAACATAATTCAGATCAAGAGCACGTGACTGGTCTGGCTAGAACGTAGGTACATTTACACGTCAACAACCGATATCAATCACGATATAATAAGGTTGGAAAGACGTATACTTCATCTAATACCTGTCAGACTAACTACTAGTCTGACTAGACAAGCAACCAAACATTATTTTCCTCGTTCACACCTCATTAACAAATGCTCGTTGAAGTGAATTTTATGTGTGTTGGGTTAATATGCATTTTTGGGTAATTGTTTTCTCTCAACAAACACAAGTTTATTATGAAGTTAACCACTGGTTTGCCTGAAAACTAATTCACATAATCAAAATATAGTGCAAATCACACTTCATTAGAAAGTCGAATGGGTCATGTAATATGTGGGTACAATTGTACTAAAGAATCACGTTAATGTCACTAGTTTTAAATCTTTAGTAAAATCAGATACCTAGGGGAGATAAAGAAAAATATAAAGTTATATCAAACAGAAGTTTGATGCAGTTACATTCTTTCTAGAAGTAGAATAGCTCAAATTAACTATCTGATATAAGTCAATTGCTTAGCCTTCAATACATCAATTTGCCTAAGAAACCCACTGATCACAAATAAAACGATACGTTATATAAATGTCATTATTACAAAAATCTATACTTATTACTACGCAGTTATAACCGATCTTTTCTATGCTTTACGTGATAACTACATAGTTATTACAGTCATTCCTTTTTGAGCGACTGGAATATTGGTCTATTTCGGTATTATTACATTTACCTTTAGTACTATAACAATAAACGAAATCCCTGAATTGTAGATTTCTCACAATGAGACTATCTAACCTATAAGATCTTACGTGGAAGTCACGTCATAGCCTACACCGATTCGCCTATCGTAACAATCAGAAATATGAAGCTTAGCACTTCAGAAGAACAAATTTGGGTTGAGTGGTTAGTTATATATTCAATTCAAGATGCGATAGATTATATAAAGTGACCACGCCTACATGGCTGAGTAATTCTATTTCGACTGACTGTTTCTACGTTCACAATTGTTAACCTTCTAGTAAAACATGTTGAATTTGAATCTTCTCAGTAATTATATGCACGGCTTCAAATAACATGTGGTTAGGAAACAATGTAAGCACAATATGACAATAAATTATCACGGCAATATAGTAAGCCAGAAAGACCGGTTAAAGACAAACCAATCACTGAGACTCAAGAACAACAAAACAGGTAGGTAGAATACGTCGAAGAACTCTCGAATATACCAGCTCAACTGAGCCCACCACACATCGAAACAGCACACACAGACCTTAGTATAGCTGTCGCTCCACCAATGATCAAAGAAATTAGCACGTCCATCGGACAAATCAAGATTGGGAGAGCAGCAGGACCTGACAATATACCAGCTGAAGCATTGAAGGCAGATACAGATGTAACTGCAAACATGTCCCACGTTTTATTCAGGAAGAAGGACAAGCGCCGACGAACCGGAAAGATGGAAACCTCACCAAGATATCAAAGAAAGGAGATTTGTATTTCATAGATGACATAACTCTTCTATCCTACAAAGCAAAGATAACATTCCTACAGTCGAAGGATATATGGAACCGAAAATTTGTCAACCAACATCAAAGTCAGGATCTTCAATACGAAATTCGAGACAGTCCCACTGTACGGAGCTGAAACTTGGAGAGCTTGAACTATAATAAAAAAAGCACAAGTATTCTCGCTAAAGAGGAAATTAGGAAAAGATACTGGGGGTGGATATGACATACACTGAGGAAGTCATTAAACTGTATCACAAGGCAAGTGCTAAGTTGGGATTTGGAAGTGAAACTGTTATGTACTTATGGCCTGTCAATATACCTCATAACTAGATCACCAATCACAATGTCGACTTATGCGACTTCAGCCGTGCCAAACCAATGACGCGTCCACCAGCATATGCAGCCTAGGGATATGTATACATAGTCTTGTCACTCAATAATCATCCAATATTATATGCATTAATAACCCATAAATAATTCCTAAGAGTCGCAATGTGGCCACTAGTGACTCGACACCACGTACACTATTTTGGAATGCAAACTGGTGTAATGGAGGCAGTCAACAGGAACATCTAAAACCTACAAGAAGTCGGTCGTGGATGTAAAGAAAAGCGTATAGTAGTGGAATAAACACAAAGAATTTGTAAGATTATCGCATAATAATTGAGCTGAGCTTGAAAACCTCAACATCGTAACGTGAGAGATTTAAGTACTACAACCTAACTAGCCCAAAATAGAAAATAAAATTTGAGAATTTACAAACTCGTGCTCGCTTGATATTCTGTTGTAAGTTGTACTGTCGTATCAATAACTTAACAAACTTTATTTCACAACTAACTAAATCACAACAGTCCTTTCGAAAATAATGGGAATCAGAAAATTGTCCACGAGTGTATATTACATAAATGTCATTAAATTACAGGACGCACAATATTGTAGAAAAACACTTGTTCGGAATTTCTAGGTTTTGAATGGATATTCTTACAAGATAATTAAATCTAAGTAAAATACAGAAAAGTAGTTTCAGTCATGAGAACAGGACAATCAAACGAAACAAGAGTAAGTGCTTATAGGCTTAAATTTTTGTTGAAACAGTTTGAAATTAAAGGAAAAAGTTTATGCGGAATGAATATTTGTTTTAAAAAAACCTCAGGCTATTAGTCATTTTTAAATAGCACGGGTAGAGGACAACAAAAAATATTAACTTCTTTGAAGCGTTGACAGGCGGAATGTTTGTGACAAATGGGAAATCGATCTTCAGTAGACACTCACAGATTCTTCAATGATAGAAGTCTCTTCAACGAAAAGCCTAATATAATAAACACTCTAGGCCTGCCAACATGATGTGTTAGTTGACGCAGATATGTTACAATTAACGTCTTTATCTGGAAAGTGGTTTTTAATGTTATTTTATATAAACTACAGTTAAATATCTTACTTCTATTAGACTCAACCACCCTCATATGTACACACCCAACTCTGAGATGAACAGCATTAAAAGCAAAGTACAATGAGATTTTAATTTCTCAACAATTCCTGAAATTAACTGTACAATTTGAGATACTGTGAACAATAAAACACTATCTTCATCATTTGATTTACTGAATAACTAAATGAATTTTGAAAAACAGAATCTACAGTGAAATTAGAAACTACAGTTACATGTGGAATTAAAGCATTCGGTAAAAAAATTGCTAGGAAAATCTTTAAGAACATAATGAAGTACATATTCATTTTGAACTGAAGATAAAAATGAATGACAGAAATAGAGATGAGAACTCTATGTCTAAGTTTGACTGTACAGTAAGAGATAAGGCGTGTTTAAGGATTCAGAGTAAATATCTTCTAATGTTGTATAATCAGCATTATCATCATCAAACAATATCCACTGCATACCAACTTTAGCTACACAAGTGTAGTGACCACAACTAACCGATAAGCCACTATGCAAAATCATTGCTTGTAGACTATAAGTTCTGGAAGTGAATTTAGATTTAGCAGAATCATTTGTTGCAGAGATATCGTTGTATGTATAGGTTTCTGTGTTTGAAGATGATACTGTAACTGATAAGCGTTCTGGTATATGGACACGATGCATAATTTTTGAACATGTTTGATTAACTCGAGAATATTTAAAAACATTTAAACAAATCAACACATGTGACGAAAGCTGCTGTAATTTTAAGGATCTAGCTTGAACCGTGTGTTTACCACATGATTCACATTTTGTTGATGAGGCAACATGTTCGATTCTAGTAAAATGTGTTTGTATTAGAGTAGACAAATCTGTTCCAGGCTCGGTAATTTCTTCTTCCACTAGTTCCGAATCATTGGACTGTAATAATCAATAAAAAGCATGTAAAGTATGTGTACTTGACTAAATAAAACAATTGAATAATTTGGTTTCGTAAAAAAGAAAGGGCCAAGACAAACATCATTCAGCAGTAGTGTTTCATAATACTATCACTGTCAACAACAACAAAATTTCGAATCAGAAAACAAATAAAAGGTTTCTGTCTTATTCGATAAGAACATAGGATGTAAGTTGAAATAAAGATATTTCAATATGATAAGAACGGACTAAATTTCATAGTAGGGTCGGGATAAAATTGGCGTGTTAATAATTCACAAGACTATAAATTAGCAATTGCTTGCGTTTTAAGTAACAGTGGACAATATTAACCTTTTATGTACCCTTGTTAATAAGTACGTTAAATCTGTCCAATTATGCTGCCCTTTGATAACAGTTATCCGATGAATATTAATTATTCGCAAAATCGGATTCAGACCATAAATGTATGGGTCCAATTTGTCGCGTTATGTTAGCACAGAGAGATGAAATCATCAGGCCAAATTACAGGGAAGTAGAAGTAGTGACATTATCAATGGTAGTAGGAAAGATGGAAGATGAACAAACAGGATGAGGTTATAAAAGCATCCTGTAGATGAGCACGGTAAAAAGTGCATCGTTCACTGAAGCATCAGAACTATCTTTTACGACACATTCACAATGATATAATCAAAAATACCAGTTAAAGAAGTTGTACTTTTTTCGCGCAACCATAAGTGTACAGAAGTGAGACTACAATTTACGGGCAATAGTAAGGTGACCACGAGGAACGCCAAACATTTAATACATCCAAACAAGGATTATGAATTAGTTTCAGGTGTTTCAGTTACAATTTAGGGTTAGAAATTTGTGTTTTCATCACGAACTGAGGACAACTACAGTGTCGAAATCCTACTTAGTTATATAGATGAACGGATTTCGAGTAAAAATCCAAGAGCTGCTACCATGAATCCGATTGATTCGTCACTAAACTAAAGCCCGATCTCGCCAAGTAGTTAGTCTTTACATTTAATAAAAGGATCCATCAAGTAGATGCCCATAAAAAGGTCAATTGATTCAGGTTTTTACTTGGAGTTTACCAGATCTTTTTGAAGAACTCATTTATAATATACAAGTTTGTGTACTTCATTTTGAGCTTTACTTCGTTGGTATGATGGTACTACTTGAACGTTCACACCAAATAATGTGAAGCAATAATTAAACTTTAAACATGGGTTAGTGGCTGAATGCTTTATCTACTACTAGGCTTATGAGACATCAGTTCACAACCGTGACACTTGACATCATGATGGAGATTTATAGCTTTGCTGGTTAGATTGTTCCTGAAGCCTACATTGTTATCCTTGACAACATAATCAGTACAGACATCAGACAGGAGTGAGGTATTCGAATTCATCAACACATAATTGACGTATTTTATTGTCTGCACATTTAATTTTACTTTCTTTTCTATATGAAGTTTTTGCTGATGTTACCGAGAAGGACAATGAAAATGTCACAATTAAATAGCCTCGGTTAGCGACTGAAATGATACCAACGTAATATTACTGAAAAATATTAGTATAACGCTTCAAGCTTTCAAAGTCCATAGTTTTAAAACAAATTGTATCATTCAATGAAAAAAATTGCAGTAAACTCAACAGTTCTTTTAACTACAGTTTACTTCTTCGCATGAAAATTTCCAATCTGATGGGTTCGTTGGGACAATTATAGTAGTAGTATTTTGTATCACAACATTTTCTGGGTGCCATTATACAAAAGGTGAGTCAGAAAAAGGGAGGTTATGTCTTTTTAATGCAACACACTATACTACCTAATCATATTCAGTAGTTTATATCTGCTAGCCAAACTTGAAACTTCCACATACTTCTTTAAGACAATCGACTTTATGATATTGTTTCGATGTTTTAATTAGTTCCTACTCCACATACTATTTCTAACTCTTTTTTGTAATAACTAGCATATTTTCTGCCATTCGGAAGCTTTTTTGATGAGAATACCTTACCAACTTTGAAGGTATACCTCCCCAATTTGTTGTTAGTAAAAGTTCGACACAGAATTGTGATGTGATGGACTTTCTACTTGGAATCCTTTAACAGTGTAACGGAAGTCCGGATATCTCACTACTGTAGATCTGTAATAAATCTTTACAGGTTACATGGTTTCCCCTAACAGTACTGTTTTCGAGACTTCACGCACTACTCGGTCAGTGATTTGGAACCGTTTAAAAGATTCTATACATAGAACCTTGAACACAAAGCTGATGTAACTTAGTAAGTACGCTCGAACTTCCATCTATTGTGAAAAGGCTAGAAATTCATCCTTAACCCCACCCGTAAACTTAAGTAAATGGACTGTTGCTTGAAACCTGTTATCCAATCGATAAAGGTGGATAGAGTAAATCGCTATCCCATGGGAGCAATATTTAGTTCTCTTACGTTTTAAAGCTCACTGAGTAAATTCCTGACAATAATTACAGTGAAATGTAAAAGAGGCAGACACAGACTTACTACAGGAATCTTGGTAACAAAACTTGGGTTTTCACTAGGTGCCTGGTCTTGATACAGCAACTCCTGTGGTTTAGTTAGTGGAACGTATAGACAAATAAATTGTTCTTGTCTAGAACTGGAGACATATTGACACTCTACACAAGAAGTGTGCCTTAACATAGTACCTCCAAAAAGACGCGCAACTGCTGACGATGATGATAGACCAGAGTCGTCATTTAAGGTGTTTTCACCAAGGTTCTGTATAGAGTCAGTTGAACGGGACTGTTTATTTGTACTGTAAGAACAGGATGGATTTGGTTTGAAATCCGCGTTCATTGTAGGTTGAATATATCGATCAGCCGTAAAAGTTGATGAATTGCTATATCACAATAATTAGTGGAATATCAGAAGCATAAAAGACAAAACTGTAAGCTGAAATTTATCATTACAAATAGCATAGACAACTAACCATTAAAGGAAATTCATTATCATGTATTTTACAAAACATAATTTGTGAGAGTAGAAATGTACAACACAATTTATTGTGAGTTGTTCAGTTGAGTATACCTAATTAGTGAAACAATCTATATCAGTTGACTTATTTTCCGAGTGATTTAAAATTGACTGTACTAACCTTAATAATAAACACATAAAGCCGAATCCAATGGCTCAGAATATTTCACATAAAAGTATTACAACCGAATACTAATGAAAGTTCTGGTGTAATAGTGCAATAGTTAAATAGTAAAAAGATGTCAAGGAGTGGATTATGTAAATAATAGAAAATGTAAAACACATAAACAGAAAAATGATGGCAGGAAGCAAGGTAAAAAATAGGTGACTGTCAGTATCCATTTCAAAGGATCTTGAACTATTCACCGAAGTGATCTATTACAACTACTTCAAACATTCAATATCAGAAATTTCAGTTTACCACAAACTTGGGACTCATTTAGTGAGTACAGGTTTATCGACTCAGTTATGAGCTATATTGTGTAAGAACTCTAGAAATACCACCAATAAAAATCATATTGGAGCGCACTGACTGGTCCTACTTTTAATCAATCAAGGTTAGTGGAAGTGATCCTGGGGGGGGTCAACAAATTTTCACTCACATTAGTCTTCCGTATCCTTGCTTTGTGTCGCGGGAATTGTGTTGGTTCCCAATTTCAAGCATTTAACATTGGGACCGGGGATAACAAGTCATTTCTATCCTTTTACTCCAGCGTATAAAAAACTTTATGTTTCACCTTACGGAAAATCTCGAACAGGAAACAAATAAATATATTTTTTCCCAAACAGATCGTCTTTAGTTGAGATCATGAGTCAATTGATGTTAGACCACCGTCGGAAACCTGGAGGGACTGGACGGCCGTCTCGTCCTCGCATGGGACTCCTCAGCAGTGCGCATCCGCGATCCCGCACCCCGCGGGATTCGAACCCAGAACCTACTGGCTTCGCGCTCGAACACTTGACCATTAGACCACTGAGCCGGCATCCAATGGTGTTAGTGTCTAACATCCAGGTTTCCAACGGTGGTCTAACATCAATTGATTCATGATCTCAACCAAAAACTTGACAATCTCCACAACCCCCATACTGATAATTAACATGTGCTCACTAGTGACTAGCTTCGTGAGGGAATTCTCGGAGTTCTAGTGAGAAGTCGTGACCAGTGGAGCTAATCCGTGTCGGGTAGAGACAGGTATCTACCTTAGTACAATGGAAGTTGGTCGCGCAATTTCGTGGATTGGTTGATGTTAGACACTAACACAACATTAAGGGCTCAGGCGCGAAGCCAGTAGGTCCTGGGTTCGAATCCCGCGGGGTGCGGGATCGTGGATGCGCACTGCTGAGTCCCATACTAGGACGAAACGGCCGTCCAGTGCTTCCTGGTTTCCAACGGTGGTCTAACATCAATTGATTCATGATTTCAACCAAAAACTTAACAATCTCCACAACCCCCATACTGATAGATATTCCTATCAGCACTAATTATATTGAATGAGGTGTAGATCACTTTTAAAAATACATGAAAGTATTTTCACAATCTTTATACAACAGCAATAGCAACTGAGAGACAACTGACAGGTGGACTGTGATGTGACGATATACAACCGCAGTAGTATCCCAAAACTACCAAGAGATAGCTCCAAATAATCGCAAATCAACAAAGCATTCAATTAAGGAGGTACTTACTACAGGAAAAAAGTGAAACATACTAACAAAATACTGTCAAATAGAGATATTTTTGTAGGTTATATCAATATGTATTAATTGATCAATCTATTTAGACTGTGATACGCGAGAAAAGCAGACATGACGTAACTGATCTTAAAATAAGCTAACAATACATTATCATTAGTTACGTAGTTCTCTTGTTAATGCAATTACTCTTAGTACTATGAATGCTATTCTCTAGAACAAACTCCTAAAATCGACGTTGAACAGTTTAGAGCCAATAACGAGAATGACTATCAGAGAAAGGAAAAAAAATAGATGCTATTGAGTTTCAAGAAAAGAAATCTGATTTATCTAAAGGCAGATTTACATTCACGAGCTTTGGATGAGTAAGGTATGTAATAACTCTGACAATAGGTCTATTCTACAGAAAGGTTTTGATAATTGAAATATTCAAAGAAATATGTAGTTTGTTACTTTATATATATATAATATCGTTCAATTGGATCATATGATTAATACGAATCACTTGAAATATATCGACCTATTTACTGGAAAAATTAATAAACAATCATAGAGAAGAACCAATCGCATATTAAACGTGAAATGTTCAGACTACATTCGCTTCTATAGAAACAACTATATATGGAATTTTCTTTCACTAAAGAAAATATGTATTACACATATATATATTGTGATGCACGTAAATACTACTAATAATCAAACGTATTTATACATCCAGTAGGCTAGTGGTATTTCAAATTGTTTCTATCGTATAAGTTATGTAAACTCTACATATATAAGTTAAAAATATGACTACTGATAACACTATACATTATAACTACGAGCAAATATGAAGTCAAGCTGAAATTACTACTTGAGAAGTAAAATAATCTAAAATCATGCTGAATGTTTACTACAACTAACATTTATTCCACAGTATGAAAATGAAAAAAACCGATACAATGCAAGTAGTTATACGTAAGTTGCTCAGCCATAATAAGAGCAGAACCTGACACTTATTGCCATCTGTTAAAGTCTCAATGCTACGCAAACAGATTAAGATGAAATTATTAACACAAATCCCAGAATAATAGAAGTAGTAACAGTATCAGTGATAGCATAAAATATTAAACACAGACAGTGTAATTCAGGGAGAAATAATTCACAAAATAAAAGTCTTGAAACCCAGGAACTAAAGTCGGTCATCTGCAACGTAGAATCAGGCACATACATACTTAGTTCAAGTTGCTTTATCTCATTAGAACAACAAGGTGAAGACCAAACTCATAGAAGCAGTTACTTAAATGGTAGTATCATATGAAAAAAGTAGTTTTAATCTCACGGTTTAAATGAAGACAAAATGTATACACATCTACGCCATTGTGATCGATTCTGAGCCATATCACTCAGTCTCCGACCCCTAGTTACGATAGTTGAGCGGACCCTAACATGGCTCAGACCAGAAGTTGATGACTTTAAGGACTGGTGCCATGTTTTGGTTTGGTGACCCCTAACTTTCTTTCGTCCATTCCCAACTGCTAGTCAGCATTGAGCGCCATAGTAGTCGGTGATTGGACATGCGTAATACATGGACCAACCATCTCATTTGATGAAGATTCACCTCACAAACTGATTTGCCATAATTCCCTAATATCATGCATCTAACTTCACTATTACTTACCTGGTGATCCAAGGAACTGAAGCACGACAAAGAGTGAATTAATTTGCCATATTAAGGTAGATGTAGAACTTTCACTCAACATCTCCAGTCATCGGTTGTGGTATTCGTGCAGACCTTAGCCAGGCAATCGCGACCTACCAACATGGCTTATTGTAAGAGATAATGATTTCATGGACTAATCACTGTTTTCTCGTGGCGAGGGTGATATTTACGAAATTGAGAAGTAACGCGAATGTATAATGCTTAAACCGGGTTGGTAAGTGAGATGAACCCGCTTAAGGGACTTAGAAAACCCTGATTCCAAACGAATTGTGAACATGGGCTCCACAATCCTGAGGGAACAAATGGTGTGCGAACATATTCTTGATCGCTGGTTACCATGGGATTTTTAAGTCAAAGGCCCGAGAAGTGGCGCCTTAAGAAAACCACCTGTTTTGGTTCAGGCAACCGAAGAGTATCCCGGCCCACACACAAATTTAATGGTTTGTGTGGTGTGCATATATATTTGGGGCCCTTTTGTACAAATGTTTATGTGTTAAAATAAAGAAAATTAAAAAATCGTGGACTAATACCATGTACTAGTTTCAGCACGCTTAATCTTCTAACCTACTTCTACACTACTCAACACTGAGAGCTGAGTAGTGATGTATGGAATAATAAACATATCAGTAGTATGAATAGTATTAGTTGAGTGACGTTGTCGCAGTAAGTAGGGTGATTTAACGCTATTTACATCGCATTAAAAGAAAAATATAAAACTCATTTGGAAGAAACAATTCACATAGAGAAGAATGAAACCTTTATTGCACAAAAACATCCATTTTGTATTTAAATAACTACTAAACACTTACCAATATGAATCGAGAGAGAGACTTTGTTGTTTTTTACAACATAACTCTTCTTCATGTAATCGATCTAATAAGTAGTTTAAATATTCAGCTGCATCTTGTTGTTCACCAGATACAAAATGTGCTGGTTTAGTAAGTGTAAGTACAGCTCGTATGTCACGGACGGTTGGGAGCTGTTAAAGTACAAATATGTAAGAAAAAATTTTCGTTTTTATTATACCGATTTTTAGATTAATAATATACAAAGATTGCTAACACTTAGACTAATTAGAGTAGGAAATATTGACTCAATAGAATAACACTTAAAAGTCATGCTAATAAATCCCGACTAGTTGGACTAGAACGCAATACATCTCTGAGAAGTCACTCATTATTTGAACTGTCGTTAGATGAGAGTAAACAATTTGGGGATTATGTTTTCAGTGTCACTGAAAAACAATTGCACAAAGTTGGACTTAAACATTTTGAAATATTGCAACACTTAGACGCAATTAAGAAGTTTCCTGAACATCCCAAAGGCATGTATTTAATCAGTCTTCTAGCACACTTACGTCAATCCAAATGCAGGTTTTATCATTGGGTCTCAAATTCTTTAAAAGTAACCTCTAAAACCAATAGACTTCATATGGAAATATAGTAAAATTCGGAAATATAGTAAATCAAACTCATGATCTTGTTCCAACATCCCCACAAGAATTCCAGCATTTTAAATCCACAGTACTGGACTGCTGTCATGGATAGATTGCCACACAAGGTAATAGTAATAACTTATTAACTAAGAATCGTATGGATCAGCTAATACTCCTGAAAAGAAATAAGGACTTGATCCTAAGCAAATCTGACAAAAGAACTGGTGCAGATAAATGATACGGTCAAAAATCTGATAAACATAATCCTATCATTTAGAGACTTTATTTAAGCATAATTACATGGTCTGCAAGCTTTTAAAACTACAGGGATTAGTAACAGTCGTTTTTATTCCAACAACTGCACGCATTTTGTAGAAATGGATCACAAGAGGACTCTGCTAAATGAACATCGTTACTCGGTCATATTCCGAAATTGGGGTGGGTTAGCCCTCCCTCTCGAAATACTCTCACACGGCCACGCGTATACAGCCTCTGCCAGGGAAGTCCTACTCACTGCCTTCTCGCACCACGGGTGTTGTTTACGAAAATGAGAGGACGAAAAGCGAATGTCCGGCGCTTTAACCGGATTCCAAACCAATGGTGCACATGGGCTCCAGAATCCTGAGGGAACAAATGGTGTATGAACCAATTTCTTGGTCACCGGCTATTATGGGACTGCATCTCCTCACGATGCTCCACTGCCTTGTGGGCCAGACCTTTAGGTCAAAGGCTCGGGATGTGGCCCCCCTAAGAAAACCACATGATTCGGTTTGGGCACCCGGGCAGTATCTCAGTCCGCACACAAAAACATGATAAACTCTCTACTTGTGAAAAATATTCCTCTCCCTGCAAATAATAATCAAGTGTCTCGCATTATTATTACTACTATCGTTATTATTATTATTATTATTATTATTATTATTATTATTATTATTTACTACATCATTATTCACCCTCTTTCATTCCTACTCTGTCTATCCTTACTTTTCGACTTATACAGCAGCTCGCCTATGGTGGAAACTCAGTTCTATCCAAACGTTCTCGAGTCACTTCCTGGTTGAAAATTGTATGCTACCACTGAATATGAGCACTGAAGCAGTTTTTCTGAAACCACGTGCACCATTCAAACTGGCTGCCTCCAACGTTCGCACACTTATGCAGGTCGGACAACAGATAGGGCTGGCTATGTCTTTAGAAAGTCTTAATATCGATGTCTGTTGTCTATCCGAGACCCGTATTCAAGACTCTGGTGAAGTAATACAAATTCGCTCTCCATCTGTCGCCTCAAAAAGCTTGTTTTACGTGCGTTTATCCGGGGACCCTGTGGCATCTTCGTCTGGTCTTGCTGGCGTTGATGTCGCACTAAGCGCTAGAGCTGAAGCAGCACTAACCGATTGGATCCCATTAACAGTCGGTTATGTGCTGTCAGATTAGAGTTCCATCAAAGTGAGAAGAAATCGGCGTGAGAAACGATGTCTTTTCGTCATCTCTGCCTATGCCTCGACAGACTGAAGCCCGAATGCAATCAAGGATGAGTTTTACCACCAGTTATCTGTTCTTCTCCAGAAAGTGCGTTCTGAATGTGTCTGTGTTCTAGAACCTGACGTAGTGTGAATATATGATCTATACAACTAAGTCCAGGTCGAAAACCAGCCTGATTTTCTCTAGTCTGTTCTTCACGAGCTTTGGTTAGGCGTCGAAGTATTGATGAAGCTGATATTTTAGACACTATATTTGTCAAACTGATTCCTATGTGATTGTCACAAGAGGACTTTTGTCCTTTCTTATAGACTGGCACAATCAGTGATTGAGACCAGTCAGATGGGAATATGTCCAGTTCCCAAATTCTACCTAAAAAGTCAGTTAATCTCACTGCTAATACTGAACCACCATCCTTAAAAATCTCAGGAGTAAACCTGTCAGGGCTTGCTGCTCTCCCTTGCTTCAGATTTCCTATGGCTTTTTCAACTTCGTAAAGAGATGGAGGACCTACATTAACTTGCCATTCAGGTCGACTGGAGATCGTGGGAAATCGAAGTGTGGCTGAAGGCCAGTTGAACTGATCCCTAAAGTGTTCTGCCCATCGATCCAATCTCCTGAATTGAGAATGTATAATATGTCCATCTTTCTCTGAGATTGTTTCGCTAACAGTCGGTTTCCTTAACAAGTCTGAACAATTGTCTGCTATTACCTATTGCCTCTGCCTTTTCCATCTCTCTTGCTTTCGCTACCCATCACTGTTCACGATCATTGCGTAGACTTCTTGTCAGCTTGCGCTTAAGCTGACTCCGCTCTTCATTATAATCAGAGCCAGATGGAACGAGTTTCCGAGCATCTATCAGAGCGATAGATGCTGCTGAGATTCAGTGTTTCTCCCTAACCTTGTGGTTTACCTTACTAGCAGATATCACTGCTGTTTCCCCAGCTTTTCGGATATCATTTCATGCTGCCTCGGGGTGGGCATCACCTACATGGCTGCTTAACTGTTTTTCTAGTTGTTCCTGAAATATACTCTTAGTAGGCCCCTAAGAGGTTTCCTTGCAGCGTGTTTCCTACGTCCAGTAAGACGCAGGCAAATACTCGCTCGTACTAGAGCATGATCTGAATAATGTTATACAACAAATTAAAGGCAGTGAGATTTAGGAATACAGCAAATATTCCACCGACTTACTTGATGTGTATCGAGTGACTGGAAAAGCGAAAATAGATGAGCATGTAAAATACCCTGATGTTCAACTGATGACTTTACATTATCTGACGAGCGTACATTTTCATGCAAATCTGAGACTGATAAACTGAGATTATTCACTGGGTTTGAATTTTGGCTTGGCAAAACAAAGTCAATTTTGTTTGAAAACGAGGTGCAAGATGCCATAACTGTGCCAGTCGATGAATAAGCTTTGTGAAATCCAAATAAGGCCCGACGAAACTCGGAGCAGTGATAAAGTAATTGTAGAGCTGCATTTGCATAACATGTATTTCCAACGTTTAATATGCCTTTATAACCAGCAACTGAACGATTTGTCTTCATCAGTAAGAAAAGTAAGGTCAGTTAATAAAATTAATAATCAAAAAATGTATTAAACGGCAGCAAATCTAAGCAGCATTGTAACGACTACCAACCTTTTGTTCAGACTGATGTTGACTTTTTCGGTTTGAAAAGCATAAAGATATTACGCAGCTTGTAGATAAATATAGTTATTATTTTAATGTTAAGTGCCTAGAGACAATCAGTGAGAATCCGTGCACCCAGGATGCAGATATCACTTGCTGATGAGTGTCAGTTACCACAGAACTTGATTTCACGATTCCCTATCAAACGTTTTCTCTTAGCTATTCAGTCAGTCATATGCGGCGTAGAACCCGTCATACATATGGATCGGTTCAAATTGTTATGCCACTTCAAGAGTAGGATGAAGTGATCAACGCGAATCCCAGAGTATTAGGAAGAATTAGGTATAAACGACATGACTCAAGAAGAGAGTGTGAATGAGGGGAATAAAAAAATATAAAATAAGTTCAAAGCTTAGGATCCAGGGCAAGACTAAAATGGAATGCATCTAAATTAGGATTGATTCTGCGGCGTATCATCCAACACTTGGAACTATTGAGTACAACAAATGAGAGGACCTCAACATGTTATTCTAGACCTGCCAATGTGGTTGAATCAACTGATAACAAATCTTTGACTGGTCGCCTTTATTTTTCTCCCAATCTACTACTACACTGGCAAACGTCCTGCGCCGAGGGGGGTGGTGGTTAGGGATCCCCAGTTGATAAGCATTAACTACCCCAAAAGCCATGGTACGGTCGAGAGTGGGGAGAGTCCGCTCACCCTCTCGAAATGCTCTCACATGGTCACGCGTATATAGCCTCTGCCAGGGAAGTCCTACTCACTGCCTTCTTGCACCACGGGTGTTGTTTACGGAATTGAGAGGACGGAAAGCGAATGTCCGACGCTTTAACCGGGTTGGTGGATATGGAGGATCCACCTAGGTGAGTTGGAAAACCCTGATTCCAAACCAATGACGCATATGGGCTCCAGTATCCTGAGGGAACAAATGGTGTATGAACCAGTCGTTGGTCACCGACTACCATGGGACTGCATCTCCTAACGTCGCTCCACTGTCTTGTGGATCAGACCTTTAGGTCAAAGGCTCCAGGTGTGGCGCGCTAAGAAAACCACCTGCTTCGGTTTGGGCACCCGGGCAGTATCACTGCCCTCGCACAAATCAAATGAGATTTGTGTGACGCATATGTATTTGGTGCCTCCTTGTACCAATATCTATGTGTTCGAATAAATATAAATAAAAACTCATTATTGCTCACCCAGTAGTCCCAGCATGTGCGAGAGACGCTTTGAAGGTATGTATGATCAAAAGATAGTAGCATATGAATACCACTTATTTTTAAAGGTTGTGTTTCATATACAGAATAAAACGAGGTGCCCTACAGCAGCTTTTTTAAACATCATCCTGAACTCTTTGGTGGTTCACCTCTTCGTGCTGTGATGTGGCAACTTGTGTCAATGCAAATCTATGCCAGGATTTACAATGATGAGTGGTTAACTGACTGCTGGCTCTTAGACCAAGTGGCGTGGCAACCAACTCAAGTTTGAAGCACAAACTTTAAAATTCCATGCATTGAGCTACAACTCCAACGGTTTAATGCTTGGTGGGTGTGCTTTTGCTATGCAATATCTGTATCATAGTCTATGTGCAAACAAACTAATTGTCACTCAATATCTTATTTCAAAACTTAGTTGGTACTATGGAAAACAAACTGAGGGATTGTATTACTCATAAAAAAGTCTCCCAAAACCCCAAAATGTAAGCATTATTATTATTATGTACCAGGCAATAAATCTGGTTCAATCCGGCACACAATAAAATGGTTGACTTACAAGCTAGAACGTCAAGATGACAATATATGAATGATATTCCGACAATTCTTTATATGCAACATTTACTAAAGTCAAAACCTAGGCAGATACTTACTTTCACAGTTGTTGGATGTATACTAACTAGTCGGATTGTTGAAGCTAAATTCCAACGCTCCCATATTTTTCGAATACGAATTCCAGCTTGAGGCCCAAACTTTGTTAGAAACTCCAATTTATATATTTTTGTTCGCGTACTCCAAATCTCAGGACTGTTTTCGTCGTTGAACTGGCTATGAAATTTACCTAGTAAAGTAACTAGATGCTTCTTCTGTGTACATGTTCTTGACAAATCATTACCAGTAGAAATAACTAGAGGATCAAGTAGGCGTGAAATTGTGTACATTTTAAGCAGAATATCTTTGCATTCTTCATTTAATGGGTCGTCAACATACATACTAAGCAGTTTGCTCAGAACAGGTGCTAGGTGTGAGACTATATCATCAGCATATTGATCATGCTTGTCGTCGCCACTGAGAATGAAAAAGGCCAAAGCATATACAGTTGAATCATGTGGAAGCGACAAACGGCCCATGAGTTCTAAGACAAATTTAAATTGCCAACACATGAAATCTGACCAATAGTTGGCTAAAGACTGTGACCCAGTAGGAGGAAACCTTTTGAACATTTCGCACTGAAATCCAATAAGCCAGAGGTCTAGAGAAGACCGATAAGTAGCCAGTTCAGACCAAGTGAGCCACAAAGTTAGACGACGCAATACCGTAAAACATGTCTCAATGTTGGTGATATGACGTTGACTAAGTTGATCGATAAATCTACAAATAGTTTCCGACAACAATAAATCGTCTGAGCAAAACTCCTGAAGTTCAGACAACATGGAAGCGACGGAAATGTAATGGCAATCATAACTAGAACTGACTAAAACATCCTGAACCAAAGAAGTGAGACGTTCAGTCAGTATGCATGTGTTGGACTGGTAACTGCTAAGTTTTGGCTCTGTAACAAACGTGATTACTGATCGTGCGATGGACTCAACAAGTTCAATATCAAATGAATAGGATGGAAAATTCCCGGACGGGAACTGGGAAGATAAAGTTACCAAAACTTGAAAAATATTAGATACAAAGGTCAAGTACATATCATCACAGAGATCATAGGAAGTTGACTTATGCAATGACGACTTGACAAGAGCGTGCTGAATAAGAAAGTACAACTGTTTGTTATCGTTCAGAAGATTGTAATCCAAAACAAATTGAAGCAAAGAAGATAAAGTTGACAGACATCCTGGATTTTCCAAGGACAACTGGACAAATATCATTGAATGGCGCTTAAGAATCTTTTTTATGAATGTAGACAAAGCTTCTGGAAATGAATTTAAAGCAAGTGGAGTGAAGGAACTTGTGATCTGCTGAGAAAGATGAACTGTAGAATTATCTGACAAATGGGATTCAATGGAACTTAATAGATCACAAACTACACTTATATATAACTGAGAGTAATCATTTCTACTGTGCATATTCTGAATACAAGTGAAAACAACATCTTTAAAAAAATCCGTTTCATCAAGTTTACTAATATGTTCCCGCAACCTCTTCATAAGTATAATCTTTGTGCTTTCAGGATGGCTACTGGCTAGCAAACCTATAATTATCTTATCCATAACTGATGATATATATGTATATGAAAACCACGCCCCAACAACAGTACAACAGACCCATCCACAACTGTAGCGCGACTATTCAAAAAGTGACCACTGACAACACAAAACCTTGAGATATAGTTACAAAGTATATTGCTTTCAATATACGGTACCAGATGTTTAGCCCCTAACAAACAAAGATTTTTGAACACTACATTAAAGGTATGAGCAGCAATTTACAGATACGGATTCTTTCTGTTTGCTCTTAAATGAATTGAAAGAGTATTAGAGTAGATTTGTGTCGTTTGATAGTGATGTTCTCAGGTCAAAAGCTTGTCAGTCATTCAAGCAAATACACGACAATGACAGTTTTTCATGTCTGGTTCTCGACGATGTCCTCATAATCAGTTTCAAAATGTAGCTAGTATGTTGTCTTGCAGGTTAATAAAAGTGATGAGTTGTGTACAACAGTCGTGAAACTTCATGTGTTCAAGTGGTTCTGGAAGGAATGGAAGAAGCTTTCGCTTAACTGGCTTCCGCATATAGTAGCCGGGGATCACCGATACATCCGGGCAGGGGGCTGGGTACATTAACGATGAAGGGGGTAAGGGAAAAATGGTTGGTATATCACAGTAAGATTCTGTCCTTAGTCCTTTAGAACATGTCAAGTACCCTCTTAAAGGACTTACGGAAAGTCGCTTGAACTAGCTCACTTGGCGGCGAATTCCAGCATTTGACTACTAGCAGAGGCACTGAAAGCAGACGTAGCAGTAACTGCAAGGATACTCCACATTCTCTTCAATAAGATTTGGGGTGAAGAACAAGTACCAAAAGACTGGAAAAAAGGACTTCTGATCAAAATACCGAAGAAAGGCGATCTCAGCAAGTGTGATAACTACAGGGGCATCACTCTTCTCTTAATACCGGGAAGAGTCTTCAACAGGGTATTGTTAAACAGGATGAAGGACTGCGTAGACGCCCAACTTCGTGACCAACAGGCAGGATTCCATAAGGATAGACCGTGTACAGACCAAATCGCAACTCTACGGATCACTGTGGAACAATCAGTTGAATGGAATTCATCAGTCTACATCAACTTCATTGACTACAAAAGACATTTGACAGCATGGACAGAACAACATTATGGAAACTTCTTCGACACTACGGCGTGCCTCAGAAGATAGTCAATATCATACAGAGTTCATATGATGGATTACACTGCGAAATCGTGCATGGAGGACAGTTGACAGACTCGTTCGAAGTGAAGACCGGTGTTAGGCAAGGTTGCTTACTCTCACCCTTTCTCTTTCTCCTGGTGATTGACTGGATCATGAAGACGTCAACATCTGAAGGGAAACACAGGATACAATGGACATCCAGGATGCAGCTGGACGATCTAGACTTCGCAGATGATCTGGCCCTTCTATCGCAATCACAACAACAAATACAGGAGAAGACGACCAGTGTGACAGCAGCCTAAGTAGCAGTAGGTCTCAATATACACAAAGGGAAAAGCCAGATTCTCCGATACAACACAGCATGCACCAATCCAATCACAACTGACGGAGAAGATTCGGAGGATGTAAATACCTTTACATATTTGGGCAGCATCATTGATGAACACGATGGATCTGATGCAGATGTGAAAGCGCGGATCGGCAGAGCAAGAGCAGCATATTTACAACTGAGGAACATCTGGAACTCAAAACAACTTTCAACCAACACAAAGGTCAGGATTTTCAGTACAAATGTCAAGACAGTTCTACTAAATGGAGCGGAAACCTGGAGAACTACGAAAGCCATCATCCAGAAAATACAGGTGTTCATTGATAGTTGTCTACGCAACATACTTCAGATCCGTTGGCCGGACACCATTAGGAACAACGTACTGTGGGAGAGAATAAACCAGATCCCAGAGGAGTAGGAAATCAGGAAAAAGCGCTGGAAGTGGATAAGACACACATTGAGGAAAGCGCCGAACTGCATCACAAGACAAGCCTTCACATGGGATCCTCAAGGCGAAAGCAGGAGAGGAAGACCAAAGAACACATTACGCCGAGAAATGGAAATAGACATGAGAAAAATGAACAAGAATTGGATGGAACTTGAAAAGAAGGCCCAGGACAGAGTGGGTTGGAGAATGCTGGTCGGTGGCTTATGCTCCATTAGGAGTGACGGGCGTAAGTAAGCAAGTAAGGAGTAGAAGGTGTGTCAACAGTCCGTTGTGCTGTGTTGGGTCCCCGGTTTCTGGGTTTCACTCTTGAGGTTTGTGATGAAGCTAAACTTAAGTAGGTATTTGGGGGGATGTTTAAAAGTATCTAGGATGCTGTAAGCCATTAGTAAATCACCTCTAAGACGCATGCACTCCGACCGGTCAAGGTTTAGCGATTGGAGGCGCTCTTCATATGGCTTGAATTTGAATCCCCGAGCTGATTTCGTGACTCGCCGTTGGATAAGATACAGTGTCTTTATCCTTTCGATTGAGGGAGGAAACACTATGTTTCTGTACTCTAGATGGAGACGAATAAAACTGTTGAAGATTATGTGGAAAGTTTTCAGTCAAACTTGCCAAAAATTCTCTTCAATATCACTAGTGCATTTTTGTCAAGGTTAGAGTGTCTTCAAATCGTAGGGTATCAGCACTCCTAGATCTTAGTATACCTTTAAAGGGGAGTTACTCAAGTTTTATCTGTAATCTGCAAAGTATCTCAGATGGACAACTTTACACTTTAAAGTGTGAAATGTAAGTCCGTTATCGTCTGCTCAACCTTGAAGTCCAGTCACATCCTCCCGAAATGTTAGCTTATACTACTGATTGCATACTTCTCTCCAAAGTTTCATATCATCAGCAAAATGTAATAAATCTGACGATACCTGCTACGGAAGAACGTTTATAGAAATCAAGAAGTGAAGAGGTTCTATTACCTAACACTGAGGGATCCCTTTGGGACATTCCATAGCCTGAGAGAAAGTGAAGTTAACCTTGATCTTAAAATATCGAGTTTTTAGATCTAAAATTAGCCAATCAACTAAAGGTGATTTGATACCTAATCTTTTTGATTGATATCATGAACCGATTGATGTTAGACCACCACAAGTGAAAACCTGGAAGCACTGGACGGCCGTTTCGTCCTTTTGTGGGACTCCTCAGCAGTGCGTATCCACGATCCCGCGAGGTGGAGCTAATCCTTGTCGGGTAGAGACGGGTATCTACCTCAGTACAACGGAAGTTGGTCGCGCAATTTCGTGGATTGGTTGATGTTAGAAACTATCACCATTGGATGCCGGCTCAGTGGTCCAGTTGGTTAAGCGTTCGCGCGCGAGACCGAAGGCCCTGGGTTCGAATCCCGCGGGGGGCGGGATCGTGGATGCGCACTTCTGAGGAGTCCCATAATAGGACGAAACGGCCGTCCAGTGCTTCCAGGTTTTCAATTGTGGTGGTCTAACATCAATCGGTTCATGATCTCAATCAAAAAACTTAATAATCTCCACAACCCCTATACTAGTGATACCTAATCATTCGAATTTATTGATAAAACATAAACGGTTGACCTTATCAAAATCTCTTGAGAAGTCAAGGTAAACGACGTCAACGACTGCCCCTTCTTCCCCCTAAATGATAGGAATATGGTTTTTCAGAAAAATTATCACAAGAGATGTATTTTCTCCAAAGCAAAATGATATTTTTCCCTATGGGGTTGTTGAGATTGCTGAATTTCATTGAAATTATGAGTCCAACAATGCTAAACTATCACTAAAATGTCAGGAACAACAGATGCCAGTTTACTCATATTTTGGGGTGCTTCTGCAGTGCTCATCCACGACCCCACGCATGGAACTCGATCTCAGGACCTTCAGTCTTAAGTAAACGGTTGATCTCTAGATCTTTGAACCAGCGTCCAACGCTGTTAGTGTCTGAAACTAATAAATTTGCGATATTGTACGACCATCTTCTATTGTCTTCGGTGGGCAACTGCCTCACACCCGACACGATTCAACTCCACTAGTCACCGCATCTCACTAATGAGAATCCGGAGGATTGATAAGCTATTTACAGTGGTATTTGTGTATACTCGTAAATGTCTGTTACATATATCTGTACTTCACACAATGTATGCCACACATTTGGCATGAACCACGTCTAATCAGATGTGGTTGGGACAAACCAGCCATCTCAAACACTTCCTGTTACAGTCTGCCAACTTGCAATAAGATCCTCAAATTATATTTTTCAGCTACATTTCATATTTGGTTTTTTGATTCTTTTGGTTTACAGTTGTACTAGCCTCACTATTGTTTGAGAATTTTGTTGTGCAAATTGCATTCCAACTTGAGTTAGCTAAGGACAAAACCATGTACTGATGGAATCTTTTGGGATAGGATAGTATTTATGTGCACTGGATAGTTCCAAAGTGTGATTCATTAAGTGACCACATATGTCGAAGCCAAGTCATAGGGTTACAGGTACTTTTTATTGGGAAACAACTACTGAAATGTGGCTAAATATGTCGCCCGATTTTGCTCAGAGATGAATTGTTCCACCTGAAGAATCTTCGAAGAAAAAACTGTGTTACTACTATCCCATTTTAACTTTCAATGTTCAGATGTTTATTTTTGTGTAGGGGATTTTATTTAGGTGCTTTAGAAGTGTGTCAAATTTTCAGGTCCCCAAAATCTTGCTCTAACTCTTAAGACCATCTGCATGCGTTGCACATTGAGGAGCATAAATAATCCATAATAATTTAATGAACGAATAAAGTACAATTGAACCAAGTACAGAACTATCTAGAGGACTTGAGGTGGTAGGGAAATTCGGTAGCTCAGGTGTAGTTTTGTTCTCTGTACTGAATGGTTTGGTCTTGGATCTTTTATTGTTGCTTTGAAGAATATCAGCACAAACTTCAGGTAGAAGCGAATTTAGTTGGATGTTTGGTCATATCTAATCCCATCCGTACACCAACCGTTGCTCGTTTGCGAGATAGGTGTTTCTTCGCAAATATTCGTCTGAACTCTTGCGAAATGTGAAGAAATATAATTTGAAAGTAAACTGAACCATTTTGCACTAGATTTTCAGGCTTTAATGGTCTGATATTGTCAACATAACGTATTTTATTCAGTTGATTGACATTGTTG